CAGTTAATCGCTCTCTGGGTCTCACCCCACTGAGTTTAAAGCAAAGACCTCTTAGTAAAAAATAAAAATAAAAAGTTAAATTTATTTATAGAAATTCCAAAGGCAACATTTTATTTATTTTATATATTTATTTATTATATAGAGTTTATTTTTAATGAAATATGTACAGGCCAGATAGGCATTTTGGAAGCTTTAGGCTCTGTAAGCATTAAAATGGCAAAGTCCACTATGAACCTGTGGTAAATTCATGCAAGTAAATATAAAGGTGCATGGATAAAAAAAAAACAACAAACAATAAAAAGGTAATAATAATAATAATAATAATAAATTCTAGTGACCCTCGTGTACTAAAGGCGACAATCTCTTTTGTGCCCGTATTGTACAAGTATGCACACCACTCATGACACTGAGTCCTCACTCTTCTGACTGCTTGTTTCATAGCTTATCCCCAGAGGATTAAAGAGAAAACTGGGTCTTCAACTTTTCTAATGTGTCTGTAATATTTCCTCTCTGATAAAGTGACTTCTTACATCGTTGTAAACTTCACAGCTGTGGAAAATATAGGGGTTGGAATATATTCTACTTGTTAAAACCTACTGCAGATTATACCAAAGCTAAATGATAAATATGCTTTTTTTTTTTTCCTAAAGCAGAATGCCAGAAACAGCATAAGTAATATCAACAATTGTACTAATTTTAAGATTCCACAAACAGCACATAATGGTTTCAGAGGGCAAGAACCAGGTTAACAGGATCACTCTTGTAAACATGTTTATTTGTGCACTTGACTATCTACTATGAAATTATACAAATTCCATAGGGGTCGTTGTAACATCTTTTATGGAAAATTGCTTTCAGTGTGAACTGTCATAATACATGATATTAGCACCCTTCCTAAAGTAAAAATTGCAAAATGAAACTAATAAATCTCTATCAATAATGACAATGAGGGGGACAGTATTAAACTTGTTTTTTTTTTTTTTCCCTAAAGTATGTTCAAATATTCATGAACTGTAAGTCAGCTGACAGTATGTAATATTTAAGGGATTGTAGCATTTTATGTTAGGGACACAAACACGCTGATTGGCAGTTACCATTCGGGAATTAACCCTTAGAAAGAGACGTTTTTTCCCCAGTATCCTGAAGGAAAAGGAAAAAAACCCAGAAAAATCATGTAAGGTCCATATGACATGCATTTTGTAGTTGTTGTACCCCTTAGGGTTTGAATCCGGTGCCATTAAGTTGAATGTAACCTTTGCCATTGGATCTGTCTGGATCGTGGCTGATCCTGACACCCCTGGCTCTCTGCAGAGGTGTGGAGGCTGAGCGCAGACGTACTTGGGAGGAGCTATACATAAGTTTGTAGCCTATTCGTAATTAAGTAATTATTAATCTAAGGCACACTTGTCCATGTGATATGTATTATTTGAAATGTAATTCTGTTCTGGAGTAACCTCTGACTTGGTGTCCTGAGCGAACGTGACCTTTCTGTACTTGAGCAGATAGGAGAGGCCACGTCCCAACTGGCGATATCAGTAATCTTACATAAAATGTGGCATTTTATTATAGTTGTTTATGAATGATAAAGATACGTAAATTACGTTAGTTGATTTGTAGGATACAGTTAGACATACTTGTCTAGGGATTATTATTGCCTGGGAATTTACAGCCTTTGACTGCAGCCCATGAGTTTATTTTTAACCTTTTGGAGCTGCCGAAACCTGCAGGCAGTTTGACCGCTGTGGTTCAACCAGGTGCCAAATCATTTGTCCAGGCGGTGCAAAGCCATGCTGGACCATAGGAGAAGAAAGCGAGCTTCTGTAGAGGACTAGGGTTCATTGCTCAGTGTTAAACAGATCGATCCTACCACACGGGACGGGAGGTTACACCTCTGCTTTTTCAGTAAATCTGACATACACCGAGAAATTAATCGCAAAGGTTAAAAATACTATGAGTCGAGGCCACAATACTAGGCCACGGTTTGAGTCTTAATGTTGGATTTTTAGTCATAGGCAAATCATTACTATTAGTTAACATGTTTTCTTTAATTTATTTTTTTTGTATTTTTCTAAAGAAAGGATTAAACCCAAGAAAAATGTTATGAGTTTATGGCAGTCCATATAAATAAACTGTAACCGATTTACTCGAATAACCCATAATGGTGTGTAAATACTGACTTTATGTAAATATAGAAACATGTAATTTAACGTAGGCATTATTGCGAGACGGGGTAGTCTGGGAGCTGGCAGTTTGCCACTCCCTGCAGGTTCACTGGGTCAAATTCGACTCATTTCGGGTAGCGAACAACAGATTCTGTTCAGTCACTTGTGTAAAATGAGTTATTTCTGTTCGTTTTCTGGGGGAATATGGGCAAAACCATCATCGCCTGGGTGCTGCTTAGCTCTTCTGCCAAGGCATGAAAGGGTACGGATGCCCTCCCGCTCCTGCTAAATCAGGGCTGGAGAGAGCTGACATAGCAAAGCAAGGAGGCTTGCAGTGCAGCTCCTCCTGTGCTGTAGACAAACAGAAGTCTTCATTTTCTGGTGCTGTCCATCTGGCACCCTTCTTGAGCACTAAAATTCACTTGAAGAAAAAGCTGAGGGAAAAACAAAAGAACAATTGGTGTTATTTACTTGATATTCTGTAATGATGTGTAAATACATACAGAATTCTGTACTTTGTATAAATACATTGCTATAGAATTTTGAAAATTGGTATTATTTGCTTGATGTCCCTTCAGAACATTTTCTTATAACCACGCACGTGTGTAAGAATGAGACTGTAAAAATATGTCCTTTCTTATTCCTAGAAAGGGTGTGAGAAAATTCTAGGAAGACCAAAACCATCAGTATTTTCTGTGTCTTTTTGCTAAACTGGAAAAAAGCAGGGGCATAACTTTTTGGCAAGAATTGCACTAGCATTTCACCTCAAGCAGACCTGTCTGGGCAAGCAGCATGGGCAAAAGGTGCTGGTGATCCAGAGCAATGTTATTGTATGGGCTGGTTTTGAGCTGCATCTGATAACGTGTCAGGCAGCTCTCCCAAACTTAAGTGAGGTGGATGAAACCTAGCAGATCTGGGCAGTGCAGAGAATGGAAGGAGAAAAATCAGAGGAAGATTGTCTTAAATTGCCACTGATCAGTGCAGAACTTCCACCATCTGTCAGATGGAAGGAAAAAAAAAAAGACATCTTTCATAAATGACTGGGTCTAACTTGTGGAGGCCGGAGGTGGGACTCTGGTGTAAAAAGTCAAGCATTGCTTTTGTCCCCCTGGGAAAAACATAAATGTGTGTTTAATAAACATATAAATAGGATGGAGTGGAAGAGTCTGCTTCCAAAGCAGTCTCTAAGTTTCTCTGGAGACAGAGTACGGCAGGAGGTAAGAGAAGACGCACCTGCAGCATGTCTTTCAGAGTCACTTGCAGCATCTTCTTAGCTTATGTGCTGCTCTGCACACTCTTGGATGAAGTAAAGAAATGATGATAAGGTCCAACTCTGCTACCCATGATTATAGGAGTAGAAATAGATGGGCTGTGAGCCATGCTGAATACGTTTTTGTGTGAATTCCTGTCTCAGCTAGTGAATTCTCACAAGGTCCCTGTGAGGTACATTAGCAAACATGGAGATGGGGATATGGCCAGGCTCCTTACAACTGCAGTTTGTTTTGCAGAAATGTGACGTTCTGGATTCTATGAAATTTTGATGAAATCTTGGAAACTCAGCCCCTGGTCATGTAGGCATGCTATAGTATGCGTAGGCAGCTACAGTGGAAAGTAGGGAATCTAGGGGAAGAAGTAACTAACACCACTGTGCTCAATATTTTTTTTCCCACACGGCAAATCGTTTACTGATCTGAGAATAGAAACCAGAAGACTTCTGCTTTCCAGAATTTTTACTCTGTTCTTAAACTATTAGAGCTCTCCATGGGTTGCTCACAGATCAGTTCTGTCCTGCCTTGGTGATTTCTTTCACCTTACCATAACACTACAAGGTGGTTTTGCCATCTGGCCCTTAAATAAGTACCAGCAGTATAGCCTCATCCGCTGTTGTCAAGAAGCTGTAACAGCCTGCCCTAGAGTTCGTTGCTGAACTGTTTGGCACTGGGAAGTGCAAACACTTAGCATTTTAAATTTAGGATTTATAAAATTTATCCATCAAGAAAAGGAAGACAATTAGTGATTCTAGACAAAGAAATGCTATTGCACAAGGTGTCTCATCAGCTCAGTTGCACGAAGTTTGAAAGCAGAAAATGTTTCTTGATGTTCAGGAAATTTGAAATGAGAATAGTAATGAAGTTCCACCCGCAAAGGAACCTATAAAACCCAGTCTTGTTGCCTTTTCCCCAATGGTTATATGTCTTTAATATCTTGTGTGCATTTTCTTCTACCTGATGATATTGGAAAAGACTCTTATTTTTCGTTCATTATTTCTGAAGTCCATCTGCCTTTGTATAGTTTTTCGGAGTTATTCTGGTCTGAACCCCAGGGCAGGAAAGTCGCCATGTGTTCCTGGATTCGGACAGAGGACCACAGGCATTACAAAGATGCTACTGTTGTGCTCTGAGTAGCTGGTATAGTCCATAGGATGACTTGTCTGATTGCAGCTATCACACGGAGGGCTACAACATTATTTGTGCCTTAATACATTGTATGTTGTTATCATAGGAGAGATCATTTCAAATGATC